AAAAGAAGAATTTTTAGCGTCACAGATTGTTCTTTTAGACTCCCTGCGAGCCGTTTGATATTTTCTCCAGTTCTCTAAGCTTTTACATTTAAACCAATTTTTATAACATAACTTCTTATATTTTATCTTTTCTTGCACATCATTATTCCACCACCAACTATTTTTATTTGTAAATATTTTTCTCTTTGATTCTCCAAGAACATTTTTTGCTACATGTTTAATAGCGTTTGATACTTTATCCCACATCACATTTGATTCTTCATGAATATCCCAAATTTTTAAATCTTGAATTTTACTCATAAAATTAATTTTATTTGTATCTTTTAAGTTTCTCCATATAATTTTGCAATGTTGAGTCTAAGTATTTTTTATTTTACAACTCTTAATCTTAAAATCTACAATTAATAAACGATGTTGGGTATTTAAATTTTCACTTGGAATAACTTTACAATCTTTACAATCACGACGATCTCTTCTTCTCATAAGAAAATAATCAATTTGTGTTTTATTAGATCCACTCTTATAAGTAATAAGATGTTCATCCCTTTTCTTGAATAAAGTATTAGTAATAACAAAATCAAACGCTAAAGCAAAATCTAAAATAACTTTACCTTCTTCATTAGTTACTCCAAAACCGTAGCCACCATGAATATTTCTGAAATCTTCTACCACTCTACCGACATGTCCATTTAAATCTCCTCCAATAAAAATTCTTTCTTCAAGAGGTATCATTTGTATTAAGTCTTCTAAGTCATTCCAAAATTTATCTTTAGACTCTGTATCTAAACCTACTTGAGGAGCATAAACACTTATAATATTAAAAATCTTAGTATCAATGATAATCTTAAGGGCTATAATTCTATCACCAACTCTATTAATTTTTACAACATTATCTTTCAAACTCTTATCTATAATTACACCTACACCATTTCTAGTGCGACTCTTACCAGAATACCAAAGTTTAAAACCTAAATTATCAATCTCCTTAGCCTTTTCTCCCACCCACTTAGTTTCTTGAATACATAAGATATTAATTTTCCTATGAATCATAATATCAACTAATTCCATTAATTTACCATTGAGAGTGCCTATATTCCAAGATCCTATCCTAATATTAGTTTCATTAGTTTCATGGACTAACTTCTTTACCCGCATTCGCCCGTAATTAGTTTTATGGACTAACTTTTTTACCCGCATTCGCCCGTAATGTGGGAACCCTTGCTTATTTAACACTACACCCGGGCGCCGGTGTAGCGGGCCTTGCACACTTTTCACTGTATTCAGGCTATACAGCGCGTCGTTTTCAGGGGACGCCCTAGCACTTACACAATAATCAAAAAGATTCATGTCATGATTTTTTCGACAAGTTTTACGCTGGCTGTCAACTACCTAACGCAACCCTCCACTTTTCTCATCCAGGCTTGGTTGAAGTGAATAATAAAATGGGGATGTTAATAGTAGAATTCAAGTTGGTTGGTTGAAGTGGAGGAATGCTTCGGGCCTTTTGTGTGATTGTGATAGAAAGCTAAGACTGAAAGGAAAATTTTATAAGACGGTGGTGAGACCTGCAATGCTCTATGGCGCTGAATGTTGGCCTTTAAAAGAGAAGCATAATAATAAGTTAAGTGTTGCCGAGATGAGAATGATTAGGTGGATGAGTGGCTTTACACTTAGAGACAAAATGCAGAATGAATATATTCGTGATAGGGTTGGTGTAGCTCCTGTGACAGACAAAATTAGAGAAAGTCGCCTTAGATGGTTTGGTCATATTAAACGTCGACCATTAGATGATCCGATTAGGAGAGTAGATGTTTTAAATTCGACTTGTGTTAAGAAAGGCAGAGGTAGACCTAGGAAGACTTGGGCTTATTGTATTAAAAATGATCTTAATTTACTAGAACTAAATGAAAATATGACACTAAATAGGGCGCAATGGAGAAAAACATTAAAAAAAAATGAAAATTAAATCTAACATTCCATTAAATCGAATTTTCGAGTGTTCCATTTTATTCCTCGTGCTCAATCTCTTTTACGACGTAAATCCAGATTTAATAAATCTTATTGTGAGACGGATTTATTCTGTCATCACGCACTTGCTTCTCCCATCCAATGTCGCACCTGGATTTTAGCAAATCTTGATTTTTTGTATCTGATAAATCTAAATCTGAGTTGCAATCAAACACCGCCAAAGTGTTTATTGGAATAGAAGTATATATTCATTGAACTATATCAAATCTGTTGAATGCTTTAGAGTTTTATCTAGCCTTTCTTATCATTGAGCCATTCATTAAAAAGAAAGCAGCAAATGTTGGTTTGTTTTTTTGTTCTTTTTATTGTTTAATCCGTAAGATTATTTATTTTTTTTAATATAATTATGCTCGTTTAGCGTGGAAAATTAGACATGTTTTCTGGTTATCCTTGCAGCTTTGTGGCTTCTGCTCGCCAGTTAGCTAAAGCGTTGGAGGTGCCGTTAGTTAATGACCTGGGATATACAAAAAGATATGTACGTTGCCTTCAGGTATGATGCTTATTGGCTTTATTGCATTTTCCATGGGTAACTGCTAACTTGTTTGAGCTTAAGATTACATATTGAAGTGCATGTTTTGGTAAAATCATTTTTATCGTGGTTTTATTGCAATTGTACAAATATGTTTCTTACCCTTTTTAAAAGACAGAAATTTGGTTCTTTAGTTTCTTGAATTGTCGTGGATTTTATTGCAAAAATCTTACTATCTTTTAGATGGAAATTTCTACTGAAGATATATTTAAGTACACAGTATGAATAAAGAAAAAGAGGCTTAGGCCAGTCTAAAGAAAGCATTGTTTTTCATTCCTTTTTATTTTAAATTTTAAGAGGTCATATCACTATCACTCTTATCCACAAATGCTAGGCTTAGATAGACATAGACCTGTATAAAAAGGGGTTTTTGTTTTAGCTTTCAGGCAGGTTCTTCAGGATAATGTGCAGAATTGGTAGACGGGTTTCGAACTCACTCCGCTTGTTCACATCGACCAAACAGTTTAGGTTTTTTCCTTTCTGAGGAGTTGGCCGGTCTAGTTATCCTCTTATTATATATTTGCTGTAGTGAAAGTCTAGGGTTTAGGCTTTTGCTTGAGTTCATTCGGGACAATTGCTGTCGTTTTCGTTTTTTCTTTCGAGGGCTATATCCAAGGTTCTAGTGGTGCTCCAACTATATCTAACGCCCGACCCAGTGATTATCCGCATCCTCCCACATCACTCTTGACCTTCCCTTCCTTGCTGCTGCGGCCCAAAACAACCTCCTTTTGTTGTTTTCTGCGGTTGCTGCTGTCTAGCTGCCTTCCCTGCTCTTCCCTTCTTGCCGCAGCAGAGTAGAGCAGCGTCTTGTTGCAGCTTCCTTTGTTATCCTCTTGCAGAACCAACCACCAACCACCTTTTGTGCTGTTTCCTATTGCCTCCACTTTTCCCCAACCTTCTCGCATTGCTTCCAATCATCATTTCTCGTTGCGGCCCTCCAGAAACCCACAAACCTGCTGTCCAAGCACTCTCAGAATATGCTCCAACCGCTATTATACTTTATTCCCACGCCCATACGAACATTTGCGCCACTTGCCGCCCCTTCCAAATCCCATAACCGACCATACCACTTCGAGATCGAACCCTAGTGTGAGTTTGTGCATCATGTTTGTTGTTATTTCATATTTCAATGTGTTTGGTTGTAGTCTCGTATTGATTTCAGTAAAAATATTTGCTTCCTATTGTTGTTTGTGTTAACTCCGACATCATTTGGTGGCGGAGCTAGCCGAACCCTATCCCTAAACCCCCTACTTAACCCTTGATTTTTCTTTCTTGCCCTATCTCCACCTACCCACACTTAAAATCTAAATCACGCCATTGAAGAGACAATTGTCGGAGATTTGATTGGGAGGAAATGCCAAAATGTCGTTTATGAGAAATCCACAAAGTCGTGTCCAGGAATCTTCTATAAAGGATGTGCTTCGGGAAATTATTGAATTACAACGGAGGCTTGCTACCTTTGGGAGGATGATTTTCCAAAGGGTCTTCGCTACAACAGTAATTTGCAAGATCGAAAGAATGCAGTAAATCTCTTCCACCAGTCAGATTCTAGAGATGAACCATTACCCAAAAATGTTGGCTTGAAATATCATAGGAGCCTGTATCTTGAATTAAAGTTTGATTTTTCATATTTTGACTGCTAGATGTATTCAGACGAGGTCATCGAGAGGCTCCAGACTGTGGAATGTGTCTTTGAGTATCAAGACGTCCCACCGGACAAAATGGTAAACTTAGCCGTTAGCAAGTCAAAGAAGAGCACATATCAGTGGTGGGAGAACTTGAAGACTTTTTTACATCGAGAAGGGAAAAGTAAAATTACTACTGGTCTAAAGATGAAATGAGAGATGTAACACCAATATATACCATTTCTTTACAGAGAGGATATTCAGTCATAGCTTCAAAAGTAGATAAACAATATCACTGAATAACCGTCACATCTTACAGACAGAGTTCGACTTTATGATTAAGCAGTTAGAATACACCCAGAAAAAAATTTAAGCCAACTCCACCTAAGGAGAAACTAGTTTAGAGTGGAGAACTGGTGAAAATTAACATTTTCAAATCCGTCATATCTAGGAAGTGTTTCAAGTGTTTCAGAATTTGGCATATTGAATTAGATTGTCCAGTTAGGAAAATGATCCCTTTCACCGATCAAGGAATAGTTGAAGAAACGGGCAATTACATAGTAGACACTGAAGAAAGTGAGGACACAAAGAAGGAGCACTAGAATCCATCGATGAGGGAGAAAAACACATAGTTCAAGTTGAGCCCATGAGAGGGACTTCAACAAAATTAATATTGGTAGTTCAAGACGGTCCTAATTTCTAAAAACCGACACATCATGACACATGGCAATCTCATATAACAAAATTTTGGACTTCTCAAATATATAGTTTACATCATAAGTTGCTCATGCTGATAGAGGTCTAACATGTTAGAGATGAGACTTTTGCATGACTTCTATAATATTATATGAGGTTGTGCGGATGTTAAATTCAATTCAACAGTGTAGCCATCAACATATGACCAGACATGAGGGATGAACTACAGTGTTGGAAATTGTCTTAGGAGTTTAGTGGAAAGGAAATTCTATAAACATATTCAGACACTACTTGAGAAGAAGAGACCTCTCTTGAGTGGTGGTTGCTAGTGAGAGTTTCTTAGCTTGTCAAGGTTTTTTTCTAGAGTTGATTCCTCCTTACATGTTTATTAGGCACGTCCAACATGACATAGGAAGTGGGAGAAGTAGTTTACAGATGTGATGACTCGAGACATAATTCATGAGAATATTCATCTATCTACATTGCCTAGCTCAGGTTGTGCCAAAATAAAATAATTATCTATCTATAGTGCCCAACTTAGGTAACGCCACTGATGGGATCACGATGAACTCAATACAATTGCGACTTAGTAATCGAACATTGCGACATACATGGTCCGAACGTGCCCTAGTTGCAAACAACCATGATTCGATCTAGCTTGAAAGCAAATTACGGGTTTGTGAAATACAATGATGATTCTAGCTACCAAAGCCAATTGAAGGATCTCAATGCACATGAGTGTAGCTATCGTAATTGTAGGGAGTATTGAAAGTAAAAAAATAGATGATTTGGAGAAGAAATCAGATTAAGAGGTAGGGCAACTTAAATTCAGGATAGTGGAAAGATTTTTCTCCATTGACAACTGATTCGAGAACTTGTAGGAGATGATAAGGAGGCGTATCGAGATTCAATGCAAGATCTTGCTGGCGGTTCGGTTTGCAAATCATAACCAAGGGTTGACCGCAGATTCATTGGATGAACTAAAATGAAAAAGTGATCGAAAGAGAGGAACACGAGGAGTAAAGCTTCCACCATTAAGAACCTTCTCCCAGAGCTCTGATGGGGGGGGGGGGGGATTAGAGATTTTTGATGGAGGCGGTTGGGCTGAATTATGGAGAAGGGTTATGCAAGGGGTATGGAGGAGCACGAAGAAGAAAGGAGAGAAGCCGAGATGGGGTATGACATGATCGAAGGAGGGAGTTTTACCCTCGATACATGGGAAAAACTGCTGGGAGAGAGGAAGTTGGGTGAAGATGCTATGGATGAGAAGTTGAAGCTGCCGATCTTCAAGGGGGAAGATGCATATGAGTGGGTGTATCAGGCGGAGCTCATGGTTGCAAAGTTGTGTTTGGAGGGGAAAACCTAGCATGGTTTCAGTGAAATGAGGCTAGATATCTAATTTTCTTGTGAGAATAATTTAAGGATTGCTTGTTGGAATGTTTTCTGAGCCATTCAGGAAGGAGTCTTACACGAGCAATTCCTTGCATTAACTCAGGAATAGACTATCATGAAGTATAAGATGAGTTCAAGCAACTGTTAGGATGACTAAGGGGGGATATTTGAAGCAGTTTTGGAGAGAAATTTCATGAAGGGTTTAAAGTTCGACATACGTGGAACACTCCGACTGTTGAGACCACGAGGATTGGGGTAGACGATGGAGCTAGCCTGGATGGTGGAGGATAATAAGTAGATGAAGTAGGCCAACAAAAGCAGCACTATGGGAGAATTAAACAAGAGCACCTCGACGACAATGACACCGAGGACACTTACAATGCCATTTAAGGGGGATGTGCCGAAGGAGAAGAATATAGGCCCATGAAGAGGTCAACTTCATGCTGCTTATAGGGAGGGATTCAAGAGAAGTGGGCAAAAAATTTATGCTTCCTGTGTGATCAAAAGTTTACCCTAGGGCATCCTTGTGAGCATCAGATGTTGCAGATTCTCATAATGTGTTATGAGGAGGCAGGGGAACTTGATCCCGCATCAATTTCTTTTTATCCACTTTGAGGATTGATTAATTGTTTCTTACAAGAAAGCAAAATAGAAGAAAAAAGGGCATCTTCTCTCAATAAATTTCTAAGAAGAAAAAAAGCTAAGAAAGAAAGATGAGGTAGAAGCTTGTGATCTGCCACACCTTGAGATCTCTCTTGCTTAAAGAAGACGATAAAACATCCTCTAACATGCATGCTTGCTGCTGTCTCGTTTGCGAGCATGCACTGATTTGTTGCAAAACTAATAACATGTATGTATAAGTTATGCATATCAAATGTCATTTAAGAACCATTAATGCTGCTTTAATATTTCAACCCTTTTCATTAAATAAGAATTGTATATTTTTTGTTCTATTGTATGTATTGACTAGAAATAGCATTGCATGATTTAAAACTTGATCTTTATTAACAAGCCTGCACATCAACCATTTAAGCTGAGCTTAGGATCTTGCTTAAATATTTAACACTTGCACAGCTTTTATATATGTTGGGGTAGTCACTGCTCCACCTTTTAGATGATAGTTGAGATCTTCATCTTTAGAAAGTATTTTATGTAATGAGAAAATTGTCAAAATGATCCCCTAACTCTTTGCAAGTGGTCTTTTTAGTCCTAGAGTTTATGAAAGTGTCCTAGTCCTCAAGCTATATTAATATGAGTTGAAATAGTTCCAAGTGAGGACTATTTAGCAGGTTAGGGATTAATTTAGCACTTTTAAAAATTCTAGGACTAAAATGATCCTATGTGAATAGTTAGACTATTTTGGCACTTTATTTTTTATTTAGTGGCCAATTAGCCATGCTCATTCTATTGTTATCCAGTCCTGGCTTTATATTGTTACAGTTTCCACAACCATCAAGTAAAAACGGTGATTCTTTGGCAGTAGGGTATGGGTGGGAGGAAGTTGCTTTTAAGCTTTAAGCAATTGCATTTATGTTATATTGGTTTCATCACCATTATTACTACTCGTGACTCATTTTTTTTCAGTTTTGCATTATGATTACCCCACATCTTTACTCATAACTTTGATGAGGATTTTGTAATTATTTCATTTTATGAATGATTTTATCTCAAGTGAGTATTGAGACATCCTTTTTTTGTTGTGTTTATTTTATTCTAATTCTTCATTAATATATTACTCCCCTTTCTCTTTGAACTTGCAAAATTAGTACTATGTATGATTGCTTTCCAAACCAAATAATTCTGATAAAGCCTTTATTTCATAGTTTTTCTTACTGAAATATTCTGATTTTGCAGATTTCTGAAGTGGTAAATAGTATGAAGGATCTGATCGATTACAGCAGGGATACTGGTACTGGACCTATGGGTAAGTGTTGCTGTCTACTCTTGTTTATTGAATTTTTGAGTAGTCGATATAATGTTGCCGTCTTCTGCAAGAAAATGGGTCTAAATTGGAAAGCTTTAACTGTTGGAGTTCTACCTTTTGAAGCTGTTTGATGGTCTCAATTGTCAAAAACCATGTGGATTAGAAATCCATGCTATTCCATGGAGTTGTGTAAGCGACGATGGACAGTTTGATGGAACACAAATTGAAATCTTGAATGTGATGCTAAAGTAAGATTGAATTCATTGATGATTTTTTAGGTTCACATTCATTAAGTTATGGTATTTTTTTTACTTGGTTGATTACTGGCACATCTAAAGAATTAATGAAGTTATGGTATTTTTTTTACTTGGTTGATTACTGGCACATCTAAAGAATTAATGAAGTTGAAGATGGACACTAGTGAGTAGCTATTTAGTTAAAAAGATTTCTAGACTTATATTTGCAAAGAGAATTATAGACAGCTTGTGATGAAGCGGGGATAATTTGAAGATGATCTCCATGAATAGTTCTTTGTCATTTAGATTTCCAGCCTTCCTCCTTGCAGTATCTTGTCATAGGGGTATACCCTCACTCTTTTAAGCGTTCCTTTAAATTTGAGAGGAAAAGAGCACTCAATAGCACATATATTTTTTTATTTAAGGTATTATTATTATCATATAGCTGATCAACACGTTATGTTATATAAAGCAAGAAACTATCTATGGATCAATAAGTGGGTACCGGGAGTCAACACTTTGTGGAGTTCTATGGTTTTTAAGGAGGTTCCGAGTGTACAAGTTTTTTCAATGTAAGAATGATTAAGCGTAATTTCGATGCTCATTAATGGAGTTGGAGCGTTAATTTGGAGCAAGTTAGGAGTGGGGGCTGATGATGCTTATCTGATAGTATGGTTGTGGTGTTATGATGACATGACGGTCAATATGATTATTTGAAAGGTAAATAATGAAGTGATGGCCAAAAGGCTTGATCAGATGTGATGGATAATGCTAGATTAAGGTTACTTGGATTCAATCATCATAACATATATGACTTACTTGACTCTTGCATAGTTTCACACATGACTACACACAATTTAACTCAATAGACAACATCACCCCAATTGACTAGGTCAAGGTATATGACATCTTATTGCTCATAACATCGACAACATAACATCGACAAAGGTCACCAAAAAAAAAAAATGATAAAGCGATAATAGCACCTAAATTTATGTGTTGCATAGATTCTCTTTGAAATCGAAAGATTATTGCTTTTGCAAGAGATTGACTCAATTGTTGCAACTCCTCCATTGTAACCATGAATCTTACGAAAGTGTAATTTTGTGCTAGCGAATTGCATTTTGTTGTACTATTCCATTTGATGTACAAGTGAGTTATCTAAGATTTGACTAGGTTGATGAGGTTTAAGATGATGACTTTTATTGGCGACGACAACGGCGATGGCGATGAATAATTAGAGCATCAACATGCAAGTCTTTACTAATTATGGAGGTTACAAGTATATTTTGAGTCTATGTCAAGGAGTTAAATTCATTCGATTAAACTTTGAAGAGATTCCCATATGCATTGGAAGATGCACTTTATAAGCATTTTATGGATCTTTCTTGTATTTTTATAAGGTTCAAGTTCCTTATTCAATAACTTTTACCCTATCTCCTTTTTGAATTATACAACCCATTTATGTAAATCATTATATGCCTCATAATTTAGAATAATTTCTGTTGAATTTCTCTATGTAAATCATGCGCTCTTGGGACACTAAGAAGGATCTATTCTGACTTGGACTAGTGATCAATGAGTAAACATCAAAGCATGGAAGAGAATTGTGTAGCATGCGAATTGCTCCGTAATCTTAGCATGAGTTTCATTTAAGGGCTGAATATTTGTTAATTATGAAGCTTGTAGTTGGCCATTGGTTAATTGGATAAGTGTGCAACTAAACGCTTGAATGCTACACTTGAAGAATCATCATAATGAAGCTATTGTAGCTGCTGTACTCAGTGAAGGAGAATAGTGTCTTCTTTCTTATTCATTAGATCCATCAGTCTTGTTATGGAGGAAAAAAATGATCACCCTTGAATTCATTAACCATCCTACCAAAGAAAAGGAATATGAAAAGACATATCAAAGAAAATGGACCATGTATCATGGTGTAAAAGATAAAAAGACAATCTAAAAAACTTGGTTGGTGCATGCATATGTTGCAAACATGCTCTGGCTGTCAGTCCCTTTTGAATTTGTTTAATTTTATATATTTTTTATGCTTTCATATACCCATATAATATTTTGAAATGGAATGATGAATTTATTTCCGATTATTTTCTTTGCTAGAAATGTGATGGAGAAGTCTTGGTGTTCTTCTTGAGGAGTTGATTGTCCATCGATTAAAATGATATTTGGAATTCTCTCTTACAGTGTCCATTGTTATGGTATCAGAGTCAATGGTATTATTGCATTTTGCTTGTGGGATGAATTTGATGATTCTTCCCTTTTTTTAAATTTCTTTGGTGAGATGCTTCTTCCTTGCATTGTGTAACCTTGATCCTTGTTTATTTTCAAAATTTTTATTCCTGATGCTCATAAACTTTACATGTTTTCTTTTACTTTTCTTTCATTGCAAATTGTAGTAGAAATTTAGCGTTTGTTGAATCCAAGTGTTTGTCCTTGGTGTGATATTATCCTTCTTTGATTTGACTGGAATAACTAATTTGAGTTAGCATATAGAGTTTTCAGAGATTATCTAATGCTATTATTGTTGCACCTTAATGTTTGCTGATTTTTCTTTGCTCTGCTTTTATAGGTTTGCATTGCATGTTTCATTTTTTACTGTTATTGCCTATTTGCGTTCTTTTGCATTGATATGAAATCTTTTCTATTATTTACAATTTAGTTCTATATGGATGAATTATTGAAGAGGGGGAGAGGCGCTGCAGGAAAATGAACGAGTATTATCTAATGCTATTATTGTTGCATCTTAATGTTTGCTGACTTTTCTTTGCTCTGCTTTTATAGGTTTGCATCGCATGTTTCATTTCTTACTGTTATTGCATATTTGTTTTCTTTTGCATTGATATGAAATCTTTTCTATCATTTACAATTTAGTTCTATATGGATGAATTATTGAAGAGGGGGAGAGGCGCTGCAGGAACATGAACGAGTATTTTGATATTTTTTATGAATTATCTTTTTTTCTGTATTTTTTTTTGGTAAAATGTGATAATTGAGTGGTGTATGAATTGTTCCATCACCTTTGCATATATTTTTTCGAAATGGTTGATTTTTTTGTTAATCATGAAGGCATGTAGTTGGCCTTTCGGTTAATTGGATAAATGTGTTACTGACATCTTGAAAGTCAAACTTAAAGAATGTTCATAATGAGGCCGTTAGTGGTGGAAAGCTTCCTCTTGAAACTATTCATTGGATCTATCAATCTTTTTATGAATGAAACAAAAGATTAATTATGGATGTATCAACCATTGTTCCAAAGAAGATGAGTATGAAGAGGCATATTAAGGAAATTTAATGCATAAAGGTGTGGTAGATGAATAGACAAACAAAAATAAAATTACTCCTTAGTAGAGGCACACGTGGCCGAATGTTGACATCATTTTTAGTGAGGTCTAGTTTTCTTCTTAGGGTATAGGGTATAGTATGAGGATTCTCTCTTTGACTATCTTAGAGCCCTAGAAATGGAATCCACCTCATTTTAGAAGTCCAAACTACTTTACCCTTCTGGAGTTCTGCATGTGTGGTCTTGGCCTCTAGCACTTAGGAGACTGAAACCAACACGAGGAAACTCAAAAAGAGTCTCTATAGGATCATTAAGTAATAGGATCGTCTTATGCACAATTTGCACATTCACTCGTACAAACTTTGCAATTCGGACAGTTGCACGTTAATTATTGCAATTCACGTCACCTACGTCTTTATATGCTGCATAATTAATCAAAACTTAGATAAAATTTTTGAAACGATCGATTGCAAGATGAAATTTCATGTAAATCAAATTCGACGCATTTTTGACCCGATCGTCGACGAGGTTGTCCGAACAACCTTGGATGATGAAAGGGACTGCGTCGGCGCGTCCGAAATGTCGGTTTTAGCTAGGAATGACACCCATTTTGCTGCCGCACATAAATAAATTGCACGAAATTTGACGCGTTCTAAATTTAAAAAAAAAGAAGAAAATCCTTATTTTAAAATTCCTAATCCCTAAATTCACGCACACGAGAGGCCGCTTGCCTGTCCTGATTCTGCCTCCCTTTTCCCGTTCGCGAGCTCTAGCCAAACCCGATCACCTTCTCCCACAAGCTGTCGCGCCTGAACCCTAGGGCCAAATTCGTCCTAGCCGAGACCCTCTTCTTCGTGCGTCTTCGACTCAAGGCCCCCTCCTTGTACGCTCGCCTTTGCCTAAAGCCGTTCGATGCAGCCACGCTCCCTGCGCCACCTGCTCCCACGCCTCTGCGACTTTGTCGCTACTTGTCGTTGCAACCTTGTCGCCACTCCCCCCCGTTGCCTTCAAGCTTCAGTTCACTTTAGGTAGGTATTGGTAACATCTTCTCTCCCTATTTGCCTATAAAAATCTCATTTGGGGATGCTTTTTTGGTTGGCCAAAATTTTAAGAAGGCGAGGTGCTACCAAAATTTTTCTTAGGCTTGTTCTTGAGTTTGCTTTGGATCTGCATCAAGAGGTAACCCTCTTCCTCATTTCTTCAAGCATTTGGAGGAATTATCTATTTTATTCTATTTTCGTGCCTCGGGTTTAATATGTTACTTTGGATTTGCAACCTATATCACTGGTTGCTTTCAAGGTATGCAATGCATCTCCTGTACTTTGAGTTTGATTTGCTACTTGAGTCGTAGCTTGATTTGAGTTTATGTTCAGCTTTGTATGTCTTTTTTACAAACTGTAGCAAGTCCTGAAATTTTTGCATTCCCACCATGTTTAAACCTACAAATGTCTTTGAGAAATAAACCTTAA